ACACTTAAAATACAAAATGTCATACTATACATAGTACCCAATGAAACCCTCAAATTATAGAATTTACCATCAAATGATCATTATAATAGAGCAAACCTCGCCAAAGGCTGGTGCAGAATGGACCACTCCAGTTCCACTTTCACCTGTTACATAGCCATCTGCTAACACCCTGAAAGCTCCACTAGCCTTGAGCTGAAAAATAATGGTTAGAATAAATAAAGGAAATTAAACCAATGTAAACATGGCTGGTACTTTTCATATGTGTGTAATAATGAAATAACTGGCTCTGAAAAGATGCTGCAAAGTCACACTTATATGTTATTGTAGCATGTTACAGTATTTTCAAACTAGCAAAATAATGTTCATGCAGCATAATATTACGTAGGGAAAGTGAGGAATAAATCAACACAATTTGCTTACATCTTGAAAATATGTAAAAAGAGGTTTGTAAGTCTTTCCCTCCAGGCTAGATCCTTTAAATCTATTCAAAAAGACAAAAAAATTACTTGCAAGATATCAATTAATTAAATATAAAATCTATAGTGTCCTAAAAAGAGAAACATTTAATGTCAGTCATTCTCTTAAAAATTTCTTTACGTCAGTTCTCTACAGTCTCTGGAGCCACGAGAGTCGAACTATATTTTCTAAATAATTTTTCATGAGGGCATCCCCAGTGTGAACATTTTCTTTACATATCACAATTTTGCAAACAAAGTTTTATAATATATTTTAAAAGTTGATATTATACTTCAATCACATACATATTTAACACTATGTCACTATTACATGTTCAAACAGAAAGAATTAAAAACCTTTCTAAAACTGTGTACTCCTCTGGCTTTTTGAAAAGTGCTTCAAGCCTAGCTTCCATCATGATATAAACTCTGTTTGTGGTGTTGTCTGCAGAAAGAAAGAATAGAAAGCAAGTAAAACATTACTGCAACAAAAAAATACAACTATTGCTCACTTCAGTGTAAAGGTCTTAATTTGCCCTCTGTGCTGCATTAATGAACAAACTGTACACACTTTCACAGTACCTGTGACTTTCACATAATCCATGTCAGGGTTTACGACAAGAGCGAGGTTACTAGGAAGTGTCCATGGGGTTGTTGTCCAAGCAATCATACTGACATTAGCATCGTCATCCAAAGGGAAGTCCACGATCACTTGACACAAAGACAAACCAATGTTCATTAGTTCATCTCGTTTTGATTTGCTCTAATTGAAACCCATAAACTGTAATTACCCTTTTGAGTGGTATGTGTGTACATGTCAATTGCAATTAAATTCAATTTTGCAAACCTCTGACAGATTTGTTTGGACTGAAGAGTGTTTATCTTTAAGGGTAACAAAGTAGTTTAAGGATTCTAATTATTCTGTTCAACTCAAAGTTAAATTTAGCACAAGGATTAGTCCAGAATAAGTTGTGAAATATAAGGAGGCATGCAGCTCCAAGTAAACTTGATCATACAAATCAAGGCACAGCAAAATTAAAACCTAACACAGGGTTTGTAACCCAAACAAATTTCAAAGACTTCTCCAAGACCCTCAATCAAAACCCACAAACAAAATTACAATCATAACCAAATTTACAAAACTTTGAAGGGATTCTAACCAGATGGATCCATAGTTTCCTTGTAGTTTTGATTTGCTTCAAAGTTTGACAATGGAGTGTTACATCTTGTGGAATATGGCATAACCTAGAGGATAATAAGTAGAATATTAATCAACAATCAGTTTTAGGACAAAAGAATTTAAGCCTTAGAATTTTCAACTGATGTCAAATTATCTGATTATTCAACTATTTGTTTATTAAAAAATGGTCTTCTCTTCCCTTTAATATAATTTTCTCCAAAAATAATTTCTCTATCAAAAGCAGAGCTATAAAGACATATGATACAACACCTTAAATCCTCTATAGACCAAGTCTTTTTCATAAATCTGTTTAAATGTCCACCTATTAAAAAAAAAACCCTCACATTTATTAAAACTGAACAGTAATAATGAACACCCACATTGTGCAAATTGTACATGAAGAAATATGACTGTACAACGTATTAACATTATTTTTCCTCTGGTTGGGTATACTCTTAATGACAAGTATATTATTTTAATGAAATCCCCCAGACCAGTGTGACAGCTTCTCTATATCTGATATTGAAAAGGCTAACATAGATCAGTTCAAAACTACATCATATGATGATGAACATAACCAAACAGTTCATGTTAAGTCTTGCAACTTTTTTGGTGATAATATATTACACCAAGAGCAGTTAAAATGAAAGTTAATTAATGTTTTTGTTTTCATTAGTTAATAAACAAATGCAACTGGAAAAACCAATAATTTCTATATTGAGGACACATAACTGTTTATTACATGAAATTACACATACCAAACAGACTCCATAAACCATGGATAAAGTGTCTTATAGTCATTGTCAAAATCAATCCATCGTCCCATTCTCTTGACTATGAACTGAACAACCACACAGTTATTAGACAACAATGTTTTCATTCATTCACTCCATTGACCATCAAAATTTACACATCTTCAAAAGCACTGGTACAATAGTAATATTAGCAAGAAGCCACTCCTTTTCAAATATTATCAGCCAACAAAAGATTGGCTTTATACTTTTGACAAACATATTCACAACAAAAAACAATAACTGCAGGAAGATCGAAGTCTGTTGTACTTACCTCCCATTCATTGGAGTAACGCATCACAATTTGGCGACACTCTTTGTTATAATTAGCTATTCCCATTTTTGTCACATCATCTGGACTCTAGAAAAAGGAACAAATTTAAATCCAAAAAATTCATCTATTTCCAAGCACTTCAGCACATTTAAACTGCAGACATAGTCATAGACTATTTCTGCAAGAATCACTTATGAAAATCCATGATGAATCGTATCCAAATTTTAAAAACTAATTGTTATTTACCCACATTGTGAATCACCTTAATGATTAATGTGATTAATGATTCTACAGCAATGGATATACTTAACCAAAGAGGTATATCTATTCTTACCTTGATACCCAACTTCTGGTCTATTTCATACTCCTACAAGACAAGGAATAATCTCATAAACAAGACAAATTCCTCTTCAGATGTGAAACTTGATTGTAAGTATTTGGTAACTAATTATTGAACTTTGCAAAAGAAAAAGAATGAAAGGCTTAAAAAATTTATACTTGCAATATACTGACACTTTTCTTTGTAATTTCCTTTTTACATAAGGTACCAATTCCCAGCACCAAAAATCTCAAACTTTATCAATGTCTACCTGTATTCTGAAGGTAGACATGAAAACTTAAAGTTCTCACCACTGGAAGGCCATGACAGTCCCATCCGAAACGTCTCTCAACATGATAACCAGACTGATGAGCATATCTTGTGACTATGTCCTGTCAATATAGTAACTCAAACTAGCAACAGTAACACTAGCACTAACAAAAAAAGAGCTTACATCTTACTTAACATCAGGGTACGATATTGCCTTTAGCATTTTCCACCTTGGTCGAAACATGCAGTCAGCTATTTGCTAAATGAATGTGACTGACAATTGAGTACTGTAACATGAATTTAAAGGCTGGTTAACACCAGAAAACTAACCTCACATCTTATCAATGTCATATGTCTACACTCGAGAAATTATTAATTTCCTCTCAAATAAAAAATTTCATGTCTGGTTTCCTGAAAGATACTTATCCCAGATCCTACCAAAGTTTGTAACCTCAGATAAAATAAAGTGGAATAAAAAATTGAATGTAAGATTCTATTTAAGTGAATTCTTGAAAAAAACAGAGCACACACATCTCTAAAAATTATAGGTCAGTGTCACCTGTCTTTCTTATAATTCTATGATTCTTAGTAATAGCAATGAGTTGATATTATCAGACTAACAGTATTAAACTCCTGAGATTAAATTACAAATACACCATTAAATCTTAAGACCATGTATCCATAATTATACTACAGTCCCTTGATGAAAGGTGTTGGCAAGTACTTTACCTTTATAGTACCAGCTAGGATGTGTCCATAATGAGGCAAGCCTGTGGCAAAAGGGGGACCATCATAGAAACTGTACCTGGATAAAAAAAAACATCAACAACTTTGAAAACTTTTTGATAATAAAGTGGATTTACTTTGTTTCCTACCTTCGAGGGAAAAGATAAGAAAATTGAGCATTCTCATTACCTGTTTGCTGGACAGTGTATGGACATTAAAGGGAGAAGTTACATGTTAATCGTTTCGGGGAGTGAAAGGGTTGAAAGGGAAAGGGAGGCCAGGTTTGGTCCTAGGAGTTCTAGAGCTTGGAGAAAACTGGAGTTCAACCTATTGAGATCCTTCATTTGTGAAGAGTACCTCTGCATACGTACTAAAATTATTTCAAAACTGTCTGAGGTTCAAACAAGGGGGGGGGGGGGGGAGAATCCTATTCTACTAGAATCATGTCAAAAAAAAAATACAATTGTTTTCCTACAAGACCACACATGTGCAAAGCTGAAACTATCAAACCTGGCTGAATTTTCTGCAGAAAGAAATCTCTTTGAGTAGCACTTACTCACGCACAATCATTACACAAAAATTGGAAACTTTTCCACCATTTGAGAAACTCAAATTAATGGGTACTGGAGGGGGGGTAGGGGGAAAAAAATCGTAGAGCAAGGCCGGAGAATCTTTATTGTCATAAAAAACAGCTGCACATTTTCATGAAAAGGTTACGGTCCTTTAACGGAAATAAACTTTCTCTACTCCGTACCTTGGTCTGTCCTTTGATTGGCGCAAGCACGACTGAAAGGCATCCAACTTCTCCCAAAGTTTCAATATATTTTCCTCCTCTTTGGGGAAGTCATGCTGTTCGGCAGCTCCAGCGGCCATTGAAGACGAATCGTTATGATCAAAACCACAGAGCGCACGCCACAAAGATAACTTAGGATAGGTAAATTTGCCAACGTGAAAGGCGGAAAACCCAGGGAATCTCTTCCTTAAAGCGCCCTTCCACATGGAAGTATCAAACTGCCAAGGTGATGCAATAAAATTCCCAGCTGCCTGTTCGGGAGTCGGTGCAATCCAATATGGCGTCCGGTTACGTGAAAAGGGTAAGTGACCCTCTGCATCGATAAAACAGTTCCAGTCGCTGCAGTGGCCATTTTTGGGGGGCTAAGTAACTTTTTAATTATACTATACCAACCAAGATCGGACTCTATTCAGTTTTGAACACCCTAGAGGATTTATTTCACGGTTAGTTTGCTAAATGTACATCGACAAGGTACTAAGCAAAATCAAGACTCGTACATAATATATCTTGAATTCATGTCACCTCACATATGAAATTGCTTAAATTTTTCAGTCAACGGCTTTGGTTGGTTTGGCAGTTTCCAAAGCACCCAGGGAGGTAAGAATTGAAGTAACATTTTATTGAAATATGGCGATTATTTTTTTGTTTTGCGGGAACTCATATTTGCGCTGTGAGGTGCCTCTAAATGACGTTTGTGATCTCCGTTTAATCTTTTGAACGCAAATGGCAATGCTTATTGAGTTAAAGAATTCTATTCGATGTCATCAATGTCTCTCTACCTAAAGAGTGGAGGGGGGGAAAGGCAGGGGAGTTAGAAAGGGGTGGGGGGGGGGGGGGGAAAACAGGGAGGTTAGAGTCTTCCACTTCCCGTACCCGACTCCCACCCTTCATTGTGTTGCTCCCATCTTCAGGTTAATCAAGGTTAATTAAGGCCTTAGCCTTGTCCAAAATATAAAATTGCATTGAAAAGTGAACCTCTCCGCACTTGCCAGCGCACTCACTGAAGTGGCAATTCTTTGAACAAGTTTACTACATGAGGCAAAATCTTCAGTAATTTGGGATGCACAGTCACACAGAGCAAGCTCACAAGTGGGTCTTCCATTAACGGATTTTTTGTTGCCACACCAAAAAATGCTGAGGCCAATTAATATAGACGACATATGACCTGACCCTGAACCTGAACCTTTAATGACCCTGAATTGCTTTCTTTGCTGGAGATTTATGACAGCTACAGCTTACCAGACACTAAAGTATAAGTGTACATGTGTCATGTGTCATGCCATCTCATGATTTATGATGTAATCGAATTGAAGGGATTTCCAGATTCACCAGAAGAAATGCTGTTTTTTCAGCCCAAGTACAAATTTATGTTTTCTTGCTTCCAAAATTTTCTTTTAAGAGTTGGTGGATGTTTCATGGAAATTTCAAAACTTTGATAGAGAAGTATTTTTGACTGAATAATACCCAGTAATAAACAACAAACTATTGCCTTCTTTATTTCTGCTCCTGCTTTTTACCCTCACATGGATCCTGCTTCCCACCCCCTGTTCTCCTGCTTTCTACCCTCTCCTGCCCCCTTTTCTTCTGGTCTCCCACCCCCTGTCCCCCTCCACTAAAGAGTTGACACAAAAAGCCTTTCTCACCCCCTTGCCATGTTCAATGAGACACTGTTTTATTGCAACTTTACCACATCTCATATATTAATGTATTATGCTGAATCATTTTTATCACATAAAAGAGGAGCCATCACTGCCAAATAGGTGACTCATTGGTGGATTTTTTGTATGAAATATGAATAACTACCGTAACAAGGAGTAGTTGCAAAATGCGGAACTTCATATAAGGGGTTTTCTTTGGCTTAAAGTTGTCAATGACTATAGTGATGAATTGTGCAGGATGTTTTTCGTCATGACCTTTTTTGGCAGTGTAGGGACAGTCCAAAAAAAATCCTCAAAAACTACAACCTTCTGGGTGTGTGTGCTACACAGTATACTGTGAACTTTTTTGACTTGCTTAAAATGTTGGGTTTGCAGTTCATATTAAAATTCAGTACTCTTGATTGGCCTCATCTGGTTTGGCAAACAGCACAATCAATTCTTTTGTCTTCAAGGCTCTCACAAAGTTGTATAAAGAGACATTGGTGGTGTTGGGAAGCATGCCAAAGAGTGCCCAGTACCGTATACACACAGAGCAGATCACTAAACAGAGACTAGATGTTGTGGAACAGGTACCTTGTCATTAACATGAAGAGTAGTGTAGTGTTAAGCCAGTTGTTTCCAAGAGAAGGGACAATTTGATCTTCACAGGTTAACAGAAATTATAGTAATCAAAGGAAAATCAGCTTGACACATTCAGGCTTTCACAATAAACATAATGTAGTTAACTCAATAAGATCAATTGGTCACTAGCTGTCTGTTTCATATATGCTCTTTGTGGAAGCAACCCATTAAATTTACCTTTCTTCCAACTTGTGGCTGGGGCACTCGGTTGGTGCAAGCATATAGAAGGCTGGGGTTCAATTCCTGTTGAATCCTTAATTTTGTCAGACCTGTTTTCCAGCAGTATGTTAAACTTCACTTGAAGATCAATTCCTAACTTTGTCTCTTCCACCAGTCAACTTTGATTTATTGCACATACATTATATTTGTGTTACAATTATGCCCTTTTCCCCCACCCTGCAGGTTTTTCTGCAGTATATTTCTATTTTATGGCCAACTAATTTTATCAGTGAATTTTTGTTTAGGAGAGTGACATACCACAACTGGAAAACAAACTTGGAGCTGGACAAATTGAAGAAGTTATTCAACAGGTAGGTAAATTTTGTACATTATTGTAATCAATTAACAGTTAAACCCTCCACAATGGCCACCAAGAGGACAAGAAAAAATGCTGCCAAATACTGTATCAATTGGTTTTCTTTAAATTTCGACACATTTTTGTTTCTAGGCTCTTGGATTATGATATAACGCTCATTTGATCATGTTCACATATTAAATTGCGCAATACAATCTCTAAATTATTACTAGTGCTTTCACTTTTAGTCTTTAAGATATTTTATCTTAACTTAAATTGTCAGAGGCTGCCTTCTTGAGCAAGTTCACATTTAGCATATTGCTCACTGATTAATGATTTACTGGTCACTTTGTTAGTTGGGATACACTTTAATGATCACTGCTGTTGTGATTAGCAACCCATTTTAGGACTGTTAGAGATGTTAATATAAAAACAAACATATCGACAGTCTGCTTGGAACAAAATGTTCAATAGAGATGCCAGTTGTAATATATAGATTTAGCCAAGCCTAATAGCAGAGCTCGCACTTTTTTTTTCCTGCATGTCTCAAGGGCACAATGCCTTGCCTTGACTAGGACTAGAACCTGGGTCATCCAACTCAGAGCCCGGTGCACTGACCACTGGACCACTGAACAAGGCCATGGCGTTGGTGTGCCTGCAGTACAGTTGACCACGCATGTTAAAAGTAGCACCTTGTATGGTCGTACGGTTGTATGGTCGTACATCCAAATTTTTTTCGGCTTGATGGGTTACTACTATTTTGTATAATTATGGGGCTACGCTCTGCAAGCTCCACTTAAAATGTGGAGGTTTACCTGTATTATAATCTTGGCAGCATATTAAGTGAAACTTGTATATGGAACGTGATTTTGATTGGAACCCACTTGTGCCAGTTTGTCCCCATGATTTTCCTTTGCTTGTAGGCAGAAGATGAGCTGTCTTTGGCCAAGAAGATGCAAGATTGGCAACCTTGGGAACCACTACAAAATCCTCCACCTGCAGACCAGTGGAAGTGGCCATGACAGTCTGGATGAAAAATTTGTTTTCTGAGGAATTGGTTTTGGGTCTAAGTGTAAATGACAGGGAAATGACAGGGAAATGACATCTATGGCATCCATGACAGGAAGCCCAAGATATGGACTTACTAGTTTTTGTACAAACGTTAGTTTTGCCATCTTGTATCGATGTATTTACTTAAACTTTACTTTTTAAAACATTTCAAACAAGGACTGGGATTTGTGCACAAGTGAATAAAGATGCAAAGAATGATGAGTGTCGAGTGACATTATCTTGTACAACAGTAGCATTTTGTTATGCTGTTTCCCACATTCATCATGTTATGAACCTTTCAAATGAGACTAGTTACACATAGAGCAACTGTCATTTCCAAGTGATCTTCCTTTGATTTGGATCTTTCATTGGAACAAATTTTGAACATCAACTTGTCCTCTTATAAGTTTTTATTCAGCATGCCGCTGCTCTGCATTATTTTGTCAAGTGATATTGTTTATCTTTCCTGTTTAAGGAGGTAGAGTAGAAATTTTGTGTTGTATATTATTAGGTTGCTCAAAGGAATTTTTAATCATGGTAACTGGATTGAATGATTAATAGAAATCAGAATCACCATCTGTGTCAAAGATTTGCACTTAAGTTGTTTAAGCTAATTGCTGCTTGAACACTCAAGACAAAAAGACCAACCAAACAATTTTACTGTCTCCACAAAGGACAATTATATTTCAGATCACCAAGCTTCTGCATGACAAACTTTTATTGCAAAACAAAACTCATTATCCACATCCACTCCATCATCAATAATACACATAAATTGTTTTGTTTGGAAAATCATAGTTTATGCTATTATTAAAAGCCTGGGATGTTTCCTGGATTAGATTCAGTTGATGAATCCTACATTTGACCAACAGCCCACCGACAATACAGTCATACACAAAGAAATCAAGAGACTAGACCAATTTTTTTGTACATCGAGTGTCAAAAGAGGGCACTGATTGAGAGAGATGCAAAACTAAAACCAGTTGCAACTTAGTCACTGTCGTTTCCTGGCACTTAGGGCAGTTTACTTGTTTTAAGTTGTTGGCTCCTTACAATATTTCCTTTTTCCTTATTAGGCTCCTTAAAATTACATTGGATGTGGTTTTACAATCCTCATTTAAAAACTGTTTCAAGGTGCTAAAGTTGCCATGAGAAAGAAAATTTACTCTTTCTACCCTGGAGAAAATTGTCAGGGAAACCTCAAAAAATGAAAAGAGATAACCTGATACAAACTTACATTCTATTCAGGGGAGGGGGGGGGGTACCACTGCAATAAATCTTAGTTACTTTTTTTTTTTTGCCAAAAACAGGGATAAGTTCTAGCAGCTAGCCTCTATCCTTAGTCGTACATTAACTCAATCAATCCAATCAAATCCTTTAAATTAATGAAAGTAGAGGAACAAAGTAACTTTTGACAAGACTTGCATACATTTAGGGAAATATTAACCCCTAACCTATGTCAAAACTGAACATTGATTAAGCTTGCAAATAACTGTGCAAATAGTTTAGTAATGAACAGAATTGTAAGGTTGCACACTACTGATTTACTATTTACAGTATTCAACTCAAATCAAACCGTTCCCTTCATTTGTGTTCTCAACTCCTTCCATCATCTTTCCTTGCACTCTTTGTGGTACTGTGAGGAATGGGTTTAAACAGTTGCCTGAAGTGAGTTGTCAAAGGGCGTCCTTGGCTTCCATTATGGGATTGAGCTGAGGAAGCATCAGGTTGTGCAAGTTGACTGAGCACTCTACTGTGGGCAGTGTCATATACAGGTGTGTCAATAAGGGATCGTATTGATCGGTGGTAATGGTAATGCATCTGATTAGTGCTGGCCTTACTTTCTCTAGAGATGTAAGGCTGGGTAGAGTGCTTACCAAATGCATTTTGAGGGATAAGTTCAGTTTCCTGACTCACTGAGGAGGATCCACTTATTTCCCCTTTTTGAGGACCATACATCCCTTCTTTCAGTAAGGGTTTTGTTAGAGCAATTGCATTGCACTTTTCTGGCTTGAAAGAAGCACTGTCGTAGGGCTGCTCAGGCTTCAGCCTTTCAAAATTATCTGCATTGTTTACTTCAACTGGAGATTGATGGAGAGCTAAATCATCACTTATGTCCTTGGTTGGAATTTGGTCATCTTCTGCAACTGTCAGTTCATCTTCTTCACTGTGTGACTGTACTGGGCTACTGCACACTGTTTGAACACCATCTGAAGATGATGGACTGGGTACTAAAGTCATTTGGCTTGGTGAAACAGTAGCATCTGCCTGTGTGGATTCAGAGCTGTCCAACATGTCCTGGTGTGGAGACTGAATGGATTCTGTACTCTCTAACAAGTGCTGTGAAGGAGAATGAATAGTTTCTGAATTGTTCACCATCTGTTGGCCTGGAACCTGAACAGATTCTACACAGTCCAATATGTGATGGTGTGGAGATTGAATAGATTCTGTATTTTCTAATATGTGTTGTTGTGAAGGAGCTGGAGCCTGTTCACACAAACTGGCAGCTGAATTACCATCAGATCTAACAGGTTTGTGCACCCCAGTAGACTCTTCTTCATGTAGTAAATGAACAGCATTTACCCCTCCCTGCTGTTCTGAGTTTGGAAGTGATTTTTGTACCTCTAGCTCCTCCCTAGTAAAATATGCTGGCTGATTAACAACCCCAGGTCTTCTCTGAACAACTGCTGATATCTGTGGATGTTGATGAGTTGATGTAGGATACTGGGGAATATACTGAGCTTGTTGAAATATGGACATCTCATACACTGCCTCCCTTGCATGTGGGTCAGGTGGTATGAACTGAGGATGAACCATCCCTCCAGAAGGGTAGGCAAACCCAGAGTTAGCAACTGGCACACACTCATGAGGCATTGCATAAGGTACATTTGGTGGTTGCCCCATAGGAAAATGTTGTCTGAATCCTCTGTTGGGTACAGGAACATACTGATGTGGTACCATGTTGTATGACTGCATTTGATTATTGAAGTACATTCCATGATTAGTTTGCTGCACAGGAGACATGTAACAGGCTTGGTACTGCAAGGGCTGTGTTGGGTACTGCATCATGTTTCCCACGACTGTAGGAGATGTTTGTGGTACATGTGTCCACATGGGTACCTGTACCCCTATTACCGGGCCACAACCATATGCAGCTGAGGACTTGAAACAAATGCAGACAAGATTGTGGTACAAAAAACAATGTTCCCTTACTGGCAATTCTTTCAAAGGGAAACTGAATGCGACCAATAATATTAAATCTTATTACAGTTAGCATCCACAGCACCAACAGAGTGAACCACCTATTTTCAAAGCTATTATTACTTTTATTTCTCTGTGAATAAACGTGGCTTTTCAGGAAAGGGAGTAAAGAGTTTAAAATGATGCTCATAATAAGTTGAATAACTTTCTGCTTTCATAAAATTTTAAAAAACAAACACCTACACTTAAAGCCTAACCTCATCAACTCCAAGACTGTAGAGAACTGGCTGTGTTAGTAATTATATTATTCGGTTGATTCTCATCATCTAACTAAATTTTGCTGCACGGTTCATTGTGAAATGCTGGTATATACGCTGTAGTTAAATAAAAGATTTCAACACGTGCTACATGTAATTGTTACTTACAGATATGCCAGTGAGTTGAGGAGCTCCTTGGGCTGGAAACTGCATTGGTGTTGAAGGCATTGGATTTGCTGGTCCATAAGATGAAGTTAACCCAGGGGAAGTTGCCAGAAATACAACTTGTTCATTTCCCTGAAACAAAATTATAATAAACATCCAAGCGTGCCTTAAATAACTTGAAAAGCTCACTGTGGTTACCTTAGTACTAATGGCCTAAGTAAAACATTTAACTAGTCATTCTTGAGTGTTTCTATCAACTACAGCAACAGAAAACAACTCAAATTAGTTCGCACCACCTGTGGAGAAGTCAAGGCGTTCGGTGGAATATGACTATACATGGTTTCTCGTTTGTCGTCTACCACTCAGTTTTCTGTATTGGCAGAAGTACTTGCAGTGAAGCCCTCGTTGCCTAGAAAATCTGCTTTAATTATTATACAAAAAGACGCGTTTCAGAACCACTTGCAAAGTTTACCACAATAGCGAATTTCTCATGTCACCCAACACACCAGTCTGTTTCACATATGTGGTGGAATATGGTGTTACACGCTGGAGGCCTCGTCTGGCTCATGCTGGTACCCAGAGCCCCTTGCAGGGCCTTGAGCGACTGACTATAACTGGTTGTAAACCGACTAGCTAACGATACCCTGTACAGTGATAAACAACGAGGGGCCGTCCCATACGTAACAATTAACGGTCCTTATCACTCTCAGAGGATGGTAAAGAGTAGCATATTTTTGGTGGCGAATCATGATCTTTGTATATCTTTAGTTGTGTATAATTGTCATAATCCTGCGGAAGAAGGAAACTACGACAATTCGTAAATAGCTGTATAATTCTCTTCTCTTCTACTACTGTAGTCTTTTATCACGTTGCGTTTTTATTATGCCACGAATGTTAAGAATACTCTTGTTGTTGTGCAATCAACAAGGCAGTTGTGCGCGAGCACATGTGAGAAGTCTCGCAGGTTCTTCTTCTGTGATGTCACAGGGATGTAACACACTTGTGAATGAGTCGAATTCAGGATAAATAAGGTCAGCTGAAATGGAAGAGGAGAAAGCAAATGATCCGTTAACTTTCTCTCCCGTTGAGGAGGAAGATAACGAAGAACTGTCAGACGATGACGATGGGTCGACTTCTAGCTCCGAGGATGCAGAAGAGTGGAACAACACTACTGTCGTGCAACATGAATTAAAAACTTCCAGAGCTGCTAGCAAGGTGATGATTTAATAAGTATGACAGATCTGGAACATGTTTCCTGAGAATTGAAACTTCTCTGACTTTTAAATTCCTGTAGGAAGCGTCTTAACAATGAGTCAGAAGTTGTTGCTCGACATTGTAACGCAAGAGCAAAGCTTTCTTCTCAATAATTTTATTGTCTAGGGGCGTATTTCACTCCCAAAAAGAAAAAAAAAACATTGTAAAGTACTTAGTCATGCTTGTAATACTTCCTCTCGAAAACCTATGCCCTTCCTTTGAACATCTATCGACTTTATCGTCGCAAACTTCTTGGCTTTTTTTTCATGCAGATTGAATTTCCGATCTGGTTTAGCTCACTTTATACCCCCATACGAGTGGACGTCTGAGCTGGATGCCTGAGCTTTTTAGATAAAAATATCCTAAAATAGAAAAACAAGGCTTAACGTCACAGAAAGAGTGCTAAAAACATAGTGAGCATTTTCTAAACAAGTATGTTGCATCTACAAAGTTCTCTCGCTTCTGCGTATCAATGTTTTAATAGGCTGAGAATGAACCAACCAAGCCAGCCATGGTCAAACTGGAAGATCAGATGAACAACAAAAATCTGGAAACTTTGCAGAAGATATTCGAGGTTTGTTCATTGCTGTATTTTTGTGAGAAAGATCAGTTTTTTGCACTACATTTTTTTTCTCTCACACCTGGATCAAAAGTATGATTGCAAGTGAAAAATGTGAAATGCAAAAGCAGTGACCGGTAAGTGATAACAGGTTTCCGGTTATCATCGTGTTTTTAGGAAGCTGATGAAGATGGCGGCGGGGGACTGGATATGGACGAGTTTCGCCAGGCCATGATCAAAACTATGACTGGTAAAGGTGAAGTGGTAAGACAATGCTTTTATATATGTATATATACTTTTTATTGTTAAATAATTTATTTGTGACGATTCCTTTCTCCTATTTGATACTGTATCCAAAATGAATCAAAAGCACAGTTTCTTGCTTTTCTGTTAACTTGCAGCCTGATGATAATCAACTGGCTATCACCTTCATGAAGGTTGACGCAAACTGTGATGGAACAGTAGACTGGGTAAGATACGAAATTTGACATAAAAAATTTTAGGGCAAAATCACTACTAAAGTAGGCCATTGATGAGCGTATTTCCTTTCATTTTGAATTTAAGGAGGAATTTTGTTCCTACATGTTGCTGGAGACTCAGTTAAAAGATGTGATGACTAGTGAAGACAGAGAGGTGAGTTGCCCTAACCCTCCCCTACCTGGGGCTGGTAAGCACCTCCATAGTAAGTCTTGTAGAGAAGTAACTGCAGCCCGTTAGCATTGGAATCTGTATAAGAATGGTTATTAAATGTGAACAACGTTTAGATCTGGTAAAAATTTGTTTTTCGATGTCATTTATGGCATTCAGGAAAATAAATTATTGGGATTGTAGGCAAAAACGGAATTATAAACCAACCACAAAGTGCGATTAACACTAAGCGCCGTTTTCAAAGTGATCATTTATTCTTCCCCATCCAGTTGGGTCCCTCTGAATCATAGGCAATGAGTTCGTGAGGGCTGGAAAATGGGAACTAAATCAACTGTTACCAGATGAATCTGAAGCCGGCTTCATTTGGGATCGCAGAATATCGTAATGAGGTATTCTCAGGAAAGAATAACAATTTGAGATCCAATACATAAAGACTTGCGTGAACTTAAAAGTTCTTATGCATGTAAAGCCCCCCAGTGAAAATTTTTATCTTTGCAGATGGAATTCCCAAATCCAGCTAAAGAAGTTCCCAGGTAATGTTCTTATCATGAATTAAAATAGTAACACAACTCTTACGATGACATAGAGACAGAAACTCCATCATAATAACTGTTGTGTACCAAGGTTCGAGGCACTTCTATGAAGTGCACAGAGAATCAGGTGTTAAGCTGCACCCAGCTGGTTTATTTAGACATAGTGTACTTATGCGCATACGGCACGGTTTATGATGTGCTTGCCGGTGGAAAAAAAAATTAGCTAATACCTAAGATATCCAAACAAGAGGAACGAACTCTACGGCGGTGATGAAATATTAATACTAATAATAATAATATTAATGATAGCATGATAATGATTACATTATCATACTATTATCATATAATAATAGCTATACACGAATTTTAGAAAGCTGACATTTCAAGGGTCAGCCTTTCCTCCCCTCGATGCACTTTACTCTTCACAGGATCCACTACTCACAACTTACGACGCACGATCCGCCCACCCACCCACCCATGCTGATTTAAACAATCTTGCTACCTCTTGCTTCATTTTGATCGTAGTTCTCATCGTGACACAATCACACGAATAACATACCTTCCTAAACTGTCACACGGCACTGATGACCCAACTGACAGCAATGGGGGAAGATACGTGTCCGTCAGCAAGGAAGGGACTTTGCACTTCTGGAACATGGACCTATATCCTCAAAGAACTCTGTCAGTAAGTGACACATTATGCTGCAATTAAGTAAAAGCACTGAGCACTGTTATGGGAAAAGCAGAACCCCTCTTAAAGGATATATCTTGGGTGCACTAGCGGGGATACTCTTCGATCGCTGCTTTTTAGCGGAATAGAGGTTATTCAGAGACTAGGGATTAAGGTAAAGAAAACTAAAGTTCAGAAAATTTCCATCTACATACTTGACAAGTTCTAGGAGTCGATTCAGGAGATTACCTGCAATTAGGATAAAAGCTGTTTTGATGAAATATAGTTCAGAGACGTTGTGTTTTACCGTAGGTGTAAGAAAAAGGTTCCATTTTCTCCAAACGTTATTTCGAAGAGGAGAAGAGTAATAGGTGTGGCAGAATATATCATGTTGTCATACTCTTTTTGTTTATTTTAGTTAGGGCACGAGGGTAAAGCTAGCAAAAATGTATGGATTACAGACTGTGTTGTATTGCCAAATGTCAAGAAGCTTGCTTTGTCAACGGCGGACAGAGAGATAGGTCTGTAAAAATCAATAAAGGGCGTTAGTTTCTAAAGAAACTGTAGTGTGAATTTGCCAACGAAAAGAGATTCTAAAGCTGACGTTTCGAGTGTTAGCCCCTCTTCAGAGCGAATGAGCTTCAACGCTTTTGACGAAAGGCTAACGCTCGAAACGTCAGCTTTTAGAATTTCTCTACGGTGGCCAATTCACATTATCAACTTAGTTGATAAAACCTTACTGATCAGCTTAAATCATTTGAGTTCCCCATCAAATAAGCGGACAGTAAATTTTGGTGGGTGAAAGACATGAAAAACTGTTTAAAACGTCCTCTTCCCTTTCTACCTATTCTAATGCTTCATCAAAGTGACCGGCTGAACCCGACAAGAACTGAAATTAGGAGCAATCATAAAGTATTGACATGGAGTTAGTGAGATCATCCCTCTCTATTTGGTTTTCCTTTTAGCATTTTATGACTGTGCTGCCACTAGTTTTGACAAACAGTACGTTATCTGCAGTTTGGATTACTGTGTACTTACAATGGATTACTGGTAAGCATTGAGGGTAGCTTTAGGCTCCAGATACTCTACTTTGCTCTCAAAAGTATTCATTTTGCCTTCAAAAAAAGAATCGAAATATTTTCGTTCAGTCTGTCATACCCCTTTTGTTTTCCGTCCTGATTCGCTCTAATTTGAAATCGCATGCTTTTTTTTTTACGTTTTCGATAATCAACCGAACAAATACACTCAACACCGCCAAGACAACGGAAGCGATAATTTGTGACACTTAATCGTCACATTTTCAAAGGCCAGCGCCTTCACCTATATCCACTCTCGCAGTGGCGGATATAGACCTGGAGCTGAGTGGGGACCCCTCCCCTAAATCCGCCACTGTCTCGAAACGAAGCCTTTTCAAATGATACGATCCACTTTTTCGTAAATCGTTGTCATTTGCTTTATTCAGGCGTTTCAATTGAAATGCATATGCGGTTTTTAAATGAAAACGAATGCCTAGCAGCAGAACAGCTGTTTTCATAATTCAAAATATTAGTATTGGTACGAAAGCCACACCCAATAAATTTTACAAGAGAAATTTAAAATTTTCAAGTTTCTAGAAGGCAAAGAGTTAAATGAAAATAAAGTCATAACACTTCCGTCACTTGCCTGCCATAGCTAGGTATAACTTCCTGTTTTAGTGCATCCCAGAAACATAAATTTCATTGTAGGTTCATACCGTTTTTAGGTGCAGCTCACCCAAGTCAAATGAGGGTATTTTGTTGGGTGGAGATGCTGGAGGTTCAGTGATCTGTTTTCAGATGAAATTCAATGCAATGACAGGTTGCTTGTTTGATATAAACCTTGGACAGCAGATTCCCAGCGGTATGTTTGATTTCCACCAGACCTTAATTGAGATAATAAACTGTTGTCTAGTCAAACATAAAAACAAGTTGACGTCTTAGTATATATATCGTTACAAGCTATTTACATCGTCTTCATTTATGCAAGGATTCTATATATATATCTGAGCCGGCCATCTTTTTCCAAGTAATTCATTCAAATTTCTTAGTTCTATTCAGTCTCGACAATGTTCGTGCTGCGCCGAGTAAACTAGGCTGTTATTCACTACCCATATTATACAAAATTCACAATCACCAGGAATTGCTCTCTTTTTTGTTTTGCTTTCAGTATCTTTCAGACGATTTTCCCTATGGGAGCTTCAGCAAGGGAGATATTCAAACATAAAACTGTTTCAATTTAACGTAAGTATAGTGCAGTGAACTTTGCCAGCGTGTGATCACGTGACAGTATGTTTGATACGGATACGTTGTAACCATGGTTATACTGACAGATTTGTACCCTGGAGGAACCTGATGCTGTGTAGTAAGAGGGATGTCTCTAAGGGCTAACAGCTGCGGCCAATAAGGACAAAGAAGACTCAAAAGCCTTTGTAAGACAAGGGTTAAAGGACGTCATTTTCAATTCTCAAACTATAATAACCTCGGCCGCTAGGTCACTGAAACAGATAGGTTCAAAACCCTTGCTGCCAACCCCCTCTCTTCTGCAAAATAATTATACCTGCCAGTATCCCAAGAACTTTAACAATATTTTCCTTGGCAATGAGGCTGATAAGCCCTTTAGACAGTTCTTTACGAACTTAATGGTGAACTAAGAAATTTTTATGCTGTTTATGTATATTTTGCCCAAGAGCACCCAGCAGAGAGTGACCTGGAAGAGTAACCTTGTTGATTTTACTTTACAGAATCTTCATGAGGACTGGATTCGTAAAGTTAGATATTACCCCTCGTTACAATGCTTTATCTCTTGTGCTACAGCCAGCAACACTTCCATGTACCTTGGAGACGTGGAAAGGAAAAAGACGTTAGTAACACATGATAACACACATTTAAGATCATCGCTTCCTTTGTCTCGTTTCAAGTTGTATTTACTCATTGGCAGCATGTTGGAGCTAAACAACGCTCACGTACCTTGAATATATTTCGGAAAACTATTAATTAGTTAGCTCCAATCCAGACTTAAATATTATAGACGTCTTTCCAATTTTCGATCAACATAAGAGGTCTTAATTATTGGTGTCTCTAGCATTCTGCACTCTTAAGTAAGCAAATAAGCTGGTGAACAAAGCGATTGTTTTTCTCACAAACTAGTATTGTAACGCTATTGGTTCCTTTTTTGAAGGAGCTCTATGTTTCGTATCCGCAAAGGCATCACCTCGTTTGATTACTGCAAGGAATGGAACGTTATAGGTAAGCAGAAGAAGAAAGTCCGATCAACAACTGTTTATTGGCTGTCATTGTTTCTATTCAGTTATCTTCGTGGTCATCTATCAGACGCTGGTATTGTTCCATTCCAGTCGATAACCTTAATTACTTACAGTGTCTTTATATTTCTCTGTCAGTAACCGGTGGCCATGATCACTACGTCCGCCTGTGGAATCCATATGTTACAGCCAAAGCAACATCGGTAAGTTTGAGACAATTAAGTTCACTGACACACAAAATGACAGCACTGAGTCATTATTTGTCATTATGGATAAGCCAGGTGTTACCTCTTTGATCAGTTTCACCCGGCATGTTGGTACATATAACGCCCACACAAACTCCTGTCACCAGTTCTGTCGGCCATTACCATATAAACACTGCACACTTCCTTCTCTCCGGTTGTCCTTCTTCTCTAATTTGTCTTGGGCTTCGCTTCGTTGTCTGAACTATTGTTTGATGCATATTTTTCCATATGTGTTACTCCTGGGTTGAAGTGCGAGCTACGCGCCACAAACAAAGAATTTAAACGCAAACATATCGTTGACTTAGAACTGAGGATCCATTAATGAACTTGACTTTAGCCTAAACTTTCGCCGTCTATTTGCAATACAAGACCCAACCCAGCTGTCAATATGTGACTTGAGATTTACGACTCCAGAGATGTGTAATTCAGCTATGCCTCAGATCAAGTGAGGTAAAAATCCTGCCGCAAGTTTGATTAAATCACTATAATGGGATAAAAAGTAGCAATAAAATGATGTTGCGATTTTTTTTTAGGTGCTGAAGGGACACAGTTCAGCAGTGACACATATCTTAGTGAACAGTGACAAAGGAGAGATAATCAGCGCTGCTCAAGACAAGGTATTCATTAATTTCTATTATTCAAGACTATTCATGGCATATCGCGCTTCCTAAGTTTTGATCGGAGGACAGAACATAGTTTTTTAGCGCAGTCGAAAGTCGAAATTGAACAGCGTCGGTTTTATTTTGCCTCGCCCGTGATTGGACCAGAAAACTTAAGCTATCTCCTAGACCGATCGGAAGGAAAAATTAAAACCAATCGCGACTTGTTCACCCGTGTTTAAGGCATCCTGTTGGATTTCTCATTGCTCCCTCGTGATTTTTTTCCCTTTGTTTTGAATGGCCCTTCTGAATAATTTGAATAATTCACGTCACCTGATCAAAAAGCGCCCTGGATAAAAGGATTTTAGAACAAAAGTGTATTTGTCTCTTACAGTAGAATGTAACTCATTTCAAGATGAGACTTCTTTGATTTTTATTTGGACAGGTTATCAAGATATGGGACATGCGTGACCTCTGCTGTGTACAAACCATTCCCGCGCGCTCCTTGTTACCAGGCCCTCACGTAATCACCAGCCTGTATTACAACTCAAAGTCTCACTGCATTTTTTTAGGAACCAATCAGGTGACAACACAATCACTTCTTTGCAATACAACTCAGTATCATCCGACATAAGGAACATACTATTCCATATCGACCTTTTCATTGCGGGCAAATGTTTAACTGAGTCGTTTTAAGTCTTTATTTGCAATGTAAATTCAAAGATCATCCGTTAGGCGACTTTCCCTCTCCTTAACATTCCTCTGCTGGAGCTTTTAACCTTGATTATTATGCAGAAAAAGTAATTTATTAGGTTGTGATAATTTTGGTGAGGTGTCACTTGGCATAGTTGCTTTGCCGACTTTTCAGAGATAGTGCGACGTATGGCCATGGCTTTAAATGCGACATTCACGATGTAACATTCATTTTAACCTTGTCCAGAGACAAAAAATAATGACTCTTACATGTCCTAATCTTCTGTATTTTTAAAACTATTGTGTTCCTACTGTTTAATTGTTAGTTATCGGTCATCGAGGGTAAAAAGGAAGAGGCATCAGAGGAACATGACGTCACAAGTCACTTCAAACCCCTCTGTGCTGCTATTTACAATGATCTGTTTGATCAGGTAATCAATCACAACATACACTGATATCGTTACGGCGTCAAAAATCAACTAATATGCAGATCTTGTGCACATATGATCCTGCCAACGAAATCTCTGTCGCCAGATGTTTGAGCAAGCGGCATGCAATCAAGGAAGGGAGTCCAAGTCTAAAGCCAGCGCTTGGAGGTTTTGCTGTCTAATGCACCTCTGTAACCGACGAATTAATGTAACTCAAAGTACAAAAATAAAGTTTAACGAAGGAACTCCTTGGCGTATACATCGCTTGTTTGTCTTAGCAGCTCGCGCTTCAGTTTCGAAATAGGAGATTAAATTGCTTGGGACCAACCACTATGCTTGGGACCAATCACTGTGCTTGGGACCACTGTGCTTGGGACTACTGTGGGTTGAAAATGATCTACAGGGCTCAGGCATTACAAGGAGAGCTTTACTCTTATTCTGTTGATTGTTGATTCCTACTCTGACTGACATTACTCTGCATGAATTTATCTGCACAGGTTGTTAGCGCATGTCATGATTCTGTGGTTTGTGTTTGGAGCCTGGAGACAGGCGAAAAAATCATTCAGTTTTCCAATGCTCACGGTAGCTCTGAAATAACAGCCATGAGGTTTGATCCTTCCAAGAGAAGACTTATAACTGGAGGTAGAGATGGAACTGTACGGATATGGAATTTTAATAATGGCTGCTGTTTAAGCGAATTACAAGCTGTTGACAATGAAGAGGTAAAACAAACTTCCTGGTGTCTACTGTTTCGCCAATGTTCTGTTTGCTTTATTCAGTTTACCACACTTCTCTGCACAAAAGTATAGGTGCGCAAAAATGGCAACCAACACAAACATAACCAGAGGTACATGAATACCTACACATTGTATGTTCACAGTTCAGTAACCTCTTTATGAACAAGCGAAAATTCCTCGTAGTATCCAATAGCAAACTTTTATTTATTTACAAAGTTTTGGCCGGTTTCTCAGATAACAGGTATCCTGTGTTTTAAACAGAAGATTATAACAGTGGGATGGAATAGAAACGTTACCATTTACAAGTAAGTACAAAAACATAGGACAGCCGCACGTTCATGATTACATTTCTGCCAGTTTCCAGATCATTGTTACAGATTGAAAATATATAGTACATTTGAATCTATATTACGAAATGTTATATATCTTTTTAGCTTCATGGAAGATTATTGTCGTCAAATATGCAGGGAAAAAGAAAATTTTCGTGTTGTTGTGTTAACTTAATTCTTTTGTCCAGGGATTGCCGCGACGAGGAGGAAGGAGATCCTCGCGTGTGGCCACATTTCCATGAAGACGACATTCTATCCGCTGCAATGTACCCGACTGGTTTAGTGGCCACCTCTTCATATGATGGCCTTGTGAAAGTCTGGAACATTGAAAGTGGAAGTGTTAACTGTCGACTGCACGCTGGTGACTATGGCTTGGAAAGAACACAATCTGTTATTCCCGCAGAAGTTAAAAGACTCGTTACTCATTGTAATTCAGGTCAGTGAACGGTAAATGCGCAAACGGAATAGAGTGTAACATTTTGAGTCAAATGAAATGCTGAATCACATAATCATGGTGAAACCCATAGATGCACGACTTGATTAAGTCTTGTTTTAATATTTTAAGTGATCGAAACAGAGAAGAGAATTCAGGAAGAAATGTCCAGAAAGAGAGGTATACATTCCGACTCAAGTAAGAAGAATCGCCGTATTGCATCATCAGTCGGGCGGCTCAAAAACTGCCCCATGCAAAAAGAAAGACTTGAAAGTTCACAAAAAAGGAAAAGCCACCTTCAAGATTTACCACCATTGAAATCTCAAGAAAGTTATCATGATTCATCGGTAGATAAGGTAAAGTAACAATTATTTTAAAAAATTGATTCAGCACTTGAGTCTATGAACAATTAAGGAATGAACGCTAATTGATTAAGAAAGAATGCAGTAATCATTACCTTACTAATTCTCTCCTTACTTAGGTTATTTTTCTAGAAAAACGTGAAAACAGCATCGCCACGGCTACCTTGTTAACATCGGGGTCAGACGGTTCCGTAAGGGCCTGGAGTGTCTGTGGCGGAGGATTACTGGGTTACTTTACTGCTGCACAGGGTGATCATAATTCTGTGCTCTCCATGACAACTAATGGTGACAATAGTTTACTCATTACCGGTGACACCGCTGGCTTTATAAAGGTAACAAACCCCTCTTAGCCTCAACTAAACCGATATGCAACTGAAATGACACGTAGCCCGAGAATCTATGGGTTTTCAACCACTAGTTTAGGCCATTAGGGAAAAAAGCTGGACAAAATATGTTTGCAGTTGGTCTTGCACTGTATACTTGACTAAGTGATTTTTAATTTTGACGAAAGGAATTCCTTGCTCTTTCACGTTTCTTACTTAATTGTTTCTTCAAAGAACAACTAATGCAAAAATCTTGGGTACAAATCCAAAAGATCTGAGGTGATTTACAAAGTTTTTTAAACATCAGCTTTTAATTCTTAGCAACCTCCCGTTCACAAGTACAACTGTAATTTCACTTCATTTTACAACATTCCCAGGTTAATGATTGATATAGGACTATTGTTATTTTTTGAGACAAAATTATTAGGCAAAACAAGAATATTGAAAAATGAAATTGCGAATGTACACGGGAACAGAGTTTGACAGTTTAAGCAGCTACGACTGTGAACGAGCATACAGTTATAACGGTTTACACCGCTCCCTGTTTAGAGACAAATCCAGTAACTTGTATCAATACATTTAGGGGTTGTCTTTACTTCACAGCTTTGGAATATATCGTGGTACTGTATAAGTAGCGGTGATCAGAAGCCAGCGGCACCGCTGCCCAGGAAACTTTCTTTAGGGAACAGAAGGAATAGTCAAAAGCCTGGCAAAGCAGGAGGAATCGATACAAAGCCACCTCCACTGGTTACTTCATTCAGAGCTCATCTCGAGCCAATTGTTAGCTTAGACTTTGTAGACAACCGTCAGCTTATCATTAGTGCTTCCAAAGATGCTTCTGTAAGGTTATGGACACAAACGGGAAGATACATAGGTAATAGAATTAATAGATGAATAAAATTACCATGGTTAAAAGAAACCTTTTCGCTGATTTCTCTGAGACTTGAACGATTCATCAAAAACCAGAGGAGTAACAATTGTTTCTTACAAATAGATGTCTGTTGTCTTGTAACGAGAGGAAAAACATATTTTCTTCACAACTGTGCGCAAAATTTACCAACTTTTTTATTCTATTTACACACATGACGCTTTGATATGAATGTTACATGATTTACATATATGTGTACTGCATTATTCAGGATTGTTTGGTCAGCGAGTATTATGGGATTTAGAGAAAGCAATAAAAGGATTACGACGACTTCCGCCGGATATTCAACGGATCGCTTCAGCCGAGACCCTCAGAAGAATGCTGAGTTCTCCTGGGCCAAGATGGAGGTGAGGTGTTTTTGGAATTTTGATGGAGAGCTTTGAAAAAGATCCTTTGATATCAAGAACTAGTATTATATTAGAAACTGATGAACAAAGTCAGTCTTCCCTCAGTGAGAGGAAATCAACTCACGTACTAGTCCTCTTCCAATGATCCGCTTCAACAAAATAAGACACCTAACGTTCCACTTGATGCCCGTTCCATCTGCAAAATATTTAATTCACTAAAACGTATCGTTGTCGGGCAAAACGAAAATATTCAACGATGTCACCATCAACAACGACATCTCTGCAGTTGCACACGGAGTCCTTAATGATATAACTCTGGGACTGATTCCGGATTATTGTGCAGTTACTAAGTTAACAATAGTTTGACGGCCCTTTGACTGCCGAGGCTAGACCTGTTTTTCCGCAGATAAACCGCAACATCTCCCTAAGCGGCATACCATCTCATGTTCCAGATGGTATTTCTGATGTTACTGTGATAAATTCGCATTAGACAGTAGGTTACGACGCATCCCTTTAATTGCGAGTTCCTTTATCGACTCCTACATACATGGAGCTCCCCAATCTGCCTCACCGCACTTAACTCAGTATCATCAAATAGAGAGCTTAAGCTTGCAGTCTTCAATCACTGATATTTGTTCTTTTCCCTTTTCGTGGCAGACTAGCAAAGCATGTAATGCATATTACGACCTTCTCTCGACGCGAAACACAGTCCATCCTGCAGGATTCCTCAGACACCGAAGATTGGGAGAACGAATGGGGGCCTTCCATTAGCCTGTCACTAAAGAACATATTAGGAAAATTTTACAAGCCGAAGATTAGGCACAAACCCCTTCCACCACTACCAAAACTCAAATTCAACCAAGATCAGATGATTGTCTATTCCTGTTTAAATTTCAAAGATCTCCAAGCTGTTGAGGAACCAAAGACACCAGCCGTACTATGCAGTCACAACACCAGACAAAATTCTTCTTCAGGCCTTCTTCCCCGAATAATTAAGAATAGAGGTCATCGGGAAAACTCTGATTCTAAACATATAACGTATTTCAGTGCGTCTGTTAAACAACCACGAGCAAGTACCTCACGAAAACCACTCGAAATTTTAAGAGCATCCATTAAAAAGTAGAATACACACTTGAAACTGGTATCACCTTAAATTAGAATGAATTAAAGTGGCTGCGACTGTCTCAGATGTGCCACTTTATGTCAGAGGCTACTGATTGAAATCAGCTGAGATTAGGACAACAAATATGCCATCTACAACTCGGTGATCTCCAACAATATTCAAAGCCCTCCTACCGTCCTACCCCAAGCTTTTTCCCTTTCACTGCTTATTGTAACATGGTAATGAAAAAAAATGTTGGTCTCGTTCTCATCCAATTTTTTCCTTAGTGTGGGCAGAAGTACACTACAAATTATTGCGCCCAAACTTTTTGCTTATTTTGAATGTCCTATGCAACATCATCAGACCGTGGTCCACAAGAACTGAGTCGGGAGGGAGATAGTGAAAGGCACGAATTACGAGTTTAATTTTTCACCTTTAAAAGAGCCCACATAGTTTTGTTTTCGTATGCAGAGCAACCGCTAACTCCATAAGTCTCATGCTGCTGAGGCTGAATTGCCTCTACTCTATTGCTGAGTAGAGAAAAGAAGTGGATAAAAACAATAGCATCACATTTTCTAATAGCTGTTTAACAAAACCGAAGAAGAGTGGTTCGTTTCCCTTTGGCCAGTGACAATGAACAGTAAGGTATGTCACAGCTCAGTCCAAGGGCGGGAAATTGATACAAACTCTGTGTTCTGTATGTTTCCCGAGCGAGGTACATTAAGCCGGTTTGCTTCGTACCTCCCAAAAGCATTTTTAACGGGAAAACTTTTTGTCGAATGGAGTTGTAACGTAAAGCAAAAGCACGTCTTGGAGAAAATCAAAAAAGATAAAACTAAGACGACCATGTGCATTTATTCCGCAATGAAACGAAATCCATGTTTGCGTTAACCTTTAGGCAAATTATAAATAATTTTTGTACCGAACAAGCGTGGTCAATACCGTACAGTTACTTAAGACGTGACAGATACATATGCATGACATTCTTCACCCACCTCCCACTCAAAACCGTGCTGTCCCTACACTTGATTTCTACAAACTACTAGCTTTGTTATTTTGAAAGAGCTAATGTTATTTAAAACGTGACTGATACATGTGTATGACATTCTTCACCCACCCAAAACCACGCTGTCCTTACACTTGAATTCTACAAACTACTAGCTACGTTCTTTTGAAAGAGGTAATGTGACACAATCCACTCGTTTCCACCCCTAAAGGCAAACACCTCGGCGCAGTAAATGAAGAACATGCGCCAGTTGAAAACGTGCTCATCTACTTGATCGCCGCCATATGTGGTACGGAATATCTCCCTCACTGTGGCTTGTTGTTTATCCATCTTGACCAGCCAGGCTTCTAAAGTGCGAGCGTAATGATTTCCATTGATCTGCCAGTGATGCTTGATACCCAAATCCTTCTGAAAGTACAACAGTAAGTCAGAGGAGGGCATTGTGCCCCCACTGAAAAAATTCCGTGCCATCCATTCCGTGTCTGAATTCTTCTTGGTGTCAAAGTTGTAAGCGAACTCGCGGTGGCATAAAATCTGGACGAACAGCAAACCTCCTGGCTTCAACCAGCTGGCCACTCGACTCATTAACTGTTCATAGTTCTTCATATGCTGTAAGAAAGGATCCAATGTCAAGCCTTTTGTTAATCGAAAATTAACCCATAATTCAAACTCTTTCAGTAGCAATTGAAAAGGGCACTCTAGGAATGTCTTCTACACTTCCTAAGAGACTTCGCACTATATTTTCCAGGCGGTAATGAATTCTATGTTTTGAGCTAGAAATGATGAGGTACAGCTATGAACATCATTGATCACAACACATGATGCTACTTGAATGTTATATTCATAAACATTTTGCACAAGTACACTTCCACGGGCTGAAACCTGAGCCTATCAAATTCCGTTTTAGCACCACTATACTGATGTTGTGAGTACTGTGTTGTGTGTTGTAATGACCCTCTCTGACTTTCTCAGGAAGCTATGGCACACATCTGAGCTATATCGAGAAATTGTATATGGCATCTAAGAAGTGAGGACTCCAAGTGTTTACAGACCTATCAACTTCTGCATGGGGAAGTTATCTTTGTGTCTGATATAACAGAGTGGTAAGAGTGTGATCAGACTGACAATATAGTTTTATTGATTCCCCTCGCAACGGAGCAAGAAACTGTGCAGCTGGGCATAATTTTTTGTTCCCTGCCTCCTTTGGGATGAGACATCGCAGAAATTCACGCACGAGAATAGGTTTTATGTAATGCTGTTCTTTACTAAATACCTCTTACTAACCGTGCGAGGGCTGCACTGTAAGTTACCAACTGAGTTTTTTCGGCTTGCATTTTCCAGAAAGGAATGTAAAATGACTTGAAATGTCTATTAAGTTATTTCCTAAAAAATGTAAGAAAGTTGAATCACCTTCTACTTCATCACAGTACCTCAACCTACCTTAATTTTGATGTTACCTTGTTAGGAATAGAGCCGAAACTGAAATATTGAAAAAATGCTCCATGATTGAAATACAGTGCTGGATAAGGTGAAACAGGTAACAGTTCTCACCTCAAACATTTCAATGGAGATGATTTGGTCAAATCTTGAGGAAGTGTTGAACACATTGGCATCTGATGTGATACAATTAATTCTAGAACTGAAACCTTTCCTTTGAGCCTCAGATTCAATCCACTCACGCTGAGTCTTGGAGTTAGATACAGTTGTCACTGTACAGTTAGGATAATGTTCACACAACCATAGAGCCAAGCTTCCCCATCCACAGCCCAAGTCCTGTGTAACAACAAACAATTCTCATTTCACAATTCTGTCTGTAATATGCATTACTATCACCTCACAGACATACATGTTGCCTGGCTTTCTGCAGAGCCCTAGCTCCTAATTGAGACTTGCTGGAAGCACAGTTTATCAGTGCATACATAGTTAAGGGTCTCCAATGTAAGTAGGTGGTATAACAGCATGTTTTGATTGAGTACTGTAAAATTGAAAAACACAGTGATCACAATGGCCAGCCTAAAAAAAGGAATTTATCACAGGGAGCCCATGAGATGCAAATTCAAAACAAGTGAATGACTTAAAGCACAGGAAAATTAATTTTAAAGTAACCAAGCTGCCATTGGTTTTTTAGCAAGTGGTGTGAGTTTTCTGAACTGATCAATTTAAAATGCTAGAGACCATAAACATTGAAATAAGCCCCCCCCCCCCTGTCTTAAGCCTCGTGTCTAAAACTTCAAGTTACTAAAAATAGGCCTCAATCTCCCTCCTAACCCTTAAAAAAAAGAGATGTCTAAAGTAGAACTCAGTGGGTTTGGTAGTGTTGCAGTACAAAAAAAAATTGTATTTGAAAGCCTACATTAGTTTCCATTTCATTGGAAAAATTATTGCAGACCCACATTTGGGCAGCAGTGAGTAACTTTCTCTAGTAGGTCCTCCATGGGTTTATGCAAAGGTACATACCATAATTGAGTTCCCATCTTCTACCTTAGCTCTTTCACAAACCAGCTTAAGCATAGAGTCCTCCGCTAAAAACCAACAACAATATCTAGTTTTAATGAATTATCATCATGCCAAGAAAGGAGAGGGAATGTAGTATTGTGCATCTATCAAACTGGTAAAATAAAATTATCATCTGCAACTTTTACCAATTGAAAATATGTCCCAAACAACAAATGCTGAGAATGACACAATTAATTCCTCCAGATTATTTGCAAAAATAGACCTTAATTGAAAATTACAGGATAAAGCCCTTAGTTTTCAGAACTTGGGGTAAAAAATTTATGGTCTTAAGACAGGCTTGGAGCCTTTTTTGTACTCAAATTATCTTGGTAAAATAGGGTAGTCAAGGATTGACATGTGTCTTCATGAAACTATGCCAAAGTTACCAATATGTTACATCAGATGCTTCTGGAATGAAGAAGTTCTTGTTTATTGCAAAGATGCCAAACCTTACTTAGTACACTGTAAAACAAGCTACTGTACTATTTATGAAAAGCTGCATATAGCAATCCTAATCAGATGATGAATTGGATTTTGGTATTGAAAGCTACTAGCTACACCCCTTAATGTCCATTGCTACTAAGTCAGAGGGAAAGAAGAGTGGAAAAATGGAGAAGCCTGAAAAACCCTTTCAGAGCAAACAGGGGATTCAACCAAAATGAGACTATGGGTCCAGGAATTGAATCATATGGAGCCACAACTGTAGAAAGTGAGTTCTCTCATTGCTGCACTTTCCCTCCACCACCAAACTGAATTGTGCATTATTGTTCCAATTACCTTCCTCCAGTGTTGTGACATTTTCTGGCCAGTAGCAGCTACTATATTTGAGTCTTTTTCCAAGTACCTGCAACAAAGATCTAACTTGAGTAACAATTTGGTAGTATCATACATAACTAATATTGGTTGAATTGTGCACCAACCATTTTGAGGCATCTCCAACAAATTGATGCACTCAAAGATTTCAGAATTCCAAATTAAGTGATTCTTTCCAACCTTTGTTTCAATAAGTGGTTTTGCTTTAGTTTCAGTGTTATCTTTTTTGATTCCTCACACCAGTAGGTCTTACAAAAGAAGTTCATTGTGTCTGTTATACTGTATGAAAGCACTAACAGATAGGTTTATACATTAAGTGGCTTTAGATTTCTGTCTCGACATTTCTTATGCTTCTAACTAAAAGAGTTTCCCCATTCCATAACCCAGAGAGAGGTACTTCCTAGTTATTTACTAAAGGGTTGTGCCACCAGATGGGGTTGCATTTTGATGACTGGGTTGGCTATAATGGGATTGCATATGGGGTAGCACACTTGGGATTCGGGGGTAAGAAAATAGTGTTCTACTTTCAGTTTTACAAATGTGTCAACTAATTTAGGATGAGCTTCTTAGCAAGGCTTAATAAGTTAAGGTAGGTGCTTATAAAACAGAAAGTGACTAAGTTAGGATTGCAAAAATTACATTTGGTTCCATAGCAAGTGGAGGGGGATGGGGGGGTGGGAGCCTAGGAGAACAGGGGGCAGGAGAGGGCAGGAAGCGGGAGTAGAAATGAAGAAGGCAATAGTTTGTTATTTATTATTAGGTATTATTCAGTCAAAAATACTTATCTAGCAAAGTTTTGAAATTTCCATTTAACATCACCAGTGCTTAAAAGAAAACTTTGAAAGCAAGAAAACATAAATTTGTACTCAGGCTGGAGAACAGCATTACTTCCAGTGAATTTGGAAATCCCTTCACTTAAATTATGACATAGGTCATAAGATAGCATGACACATGACACATGTACACTTATACTTCAGTGTCTGGTAAGCTAGCAAAGGAAGCGATTCAGGGTCACTCAGGTCAAATGTCGTCAAAGACTAAATTAGTCGGCCTCGGTATTTTTCGCTGTGGCAACGAAAAATCCGTCCATGGAAGACCTTCTTGGGAGCTCGGTCTGCATGACTGCTCATCCCAAATGACTGCAGATTTTGCCTCAAGGTACAAACTTGGTTCAAAGGAATGCCACTTCAGTGAGCGCGCTAGAGAGTGCAGAGTGGTTCACTTTTCAACGCAATTTTTTATTTTGGACAAGGCTGACAAATTAACCTTGATAAACCTGAAGACAAGAGCAACACAATGAAGGGTGGGAGTCGGGAAGCAAAGGGGCACAAAAGTACGGGAGGTAGGAGAACGTAGTACGGGAAGCGGGAGACTCTGACTCTGAACCCCGTGCCCCCCCCCCCCCCCCCCCCCAGCAACCATCAATTACATCATTCTGTCTTTAACCTTCGACCTCAAGTCTGAATACACCTCAATTCTACTACTTGTTTGGGTTTAAATGCTTACTTTTGCCCAAAAGTTACCGATATCGAAAGTAAAGAGGCTCACGCACCGTACGAAAGAAATCAGTCGGTACTTCGTAGTGTTGTTCGTTCGCTCGTGCAGTCTCAATAGCCACCGGAGAGTCTCGCAATTTCTCCACGAACTTCATTTTGAACGCCAACTTTTTTTCGACATCTCCCGAACAATCTAATTTTGTGAGCCACCTATCAAGATTTTGCCGAACTGCTTCTCGGAGAATCTTATCTCCGCCGCTTCCCATTGCTTCAGCCATACCTAAGTGGGCAGGGATAGAGGTTGGTTGCACAATCCCTAAAAAAGGTATATTGTATAAATGAACCACTTTCTGCGGTAGTTAACCGCTGACCGCTCGGATCCCTCCTACTGGTTTTCAAGTCACCGGGAACACTTACACTGGGTTGGGGTTGAACAAGTTCTGCTATAAATTCCTTTTCAGATAATTCCTGTTAGTATGTTTCCCAGATTATTTATTAGTCTGGAATTTCCTTCATTTGAAAATTTTTGTCATTTGCATTTTCTTTTGAGCCTGCACCTCTACGTTCATTTTTAACCAAAAAAAAGAACTACATGTAAAAGAACTCTGGAATTAAGGGGGTCCTCCACGTTTCACTAAAGGATAGAATACAACAGAGAAAAAAAACCTAGAGCTATTTTGCGTATTAAGTCCTTACCATCAGCTTTTCTTCCACGAAAATCTGAGGATTCATCATGATACCGAGAGGTCTGATTTACATAGGGCCCAACATCAACTTTCGTCACTCACCTTTAACTATTATCAAAACTCCCTACTCATGTGATTGTACCAAAATATGAGGCTAAAAATCAAATTCCAAACGACTGAAAAATTAAGGCAGTGTTTCACCAGACACCGAACTACATCCAGTTATTCTCAATGGTCAAAACTACAATCCCATGTAGATGTCGCTGTTCGTACTGTGCTATGATATCTGAAGGACAGGTGATATTACTACAGCCGCTGTTATCCATCCGGTGTTTGAGTCAGACTCTCTGTTCCCTGAACACGCAGGACGCGGATGAAAACATTTCCGTTTCCGAATGATTCGCAGGGTTACAGTGCATACAACCCCAACATCACGAATCCATAATTACTAGTCAAAAGGTTATGACCAAAAATGCATTGTTTGACGCGACAACATTGAACTAATAACGATAGAGAGTTTTTCAAACGTTCTCTGTGTATGCGAGTGCCAATCTCTCGCTCAGACTAAGACTTGGATGGTCCCGATTCAATGGATGCATACGGCAGTCAATGCCCTCCACCCAGCTAAAACGTCCGCCAGCCTTTTGGTGCCGGTGTCACAGCGGATTTGGACCCCCCCGTCCATATCCGCTAGCGGATTTGGACCCCCCTTCGCGGATTTGGACCCCCCCCCCCCCAACTAAACATTCCTTTTTCGTAACTTGTTCCAACTGCGAGCTTTTAGGCGATGTCCGTTAAAATTTCAACACAAGATTGCGTACTATAATTGACGAAGAAAAGGGCAGATATCGTTTCATTTCTGACACATTTATTTAAGTTGGTAGAATAACCTACGCATGAATTAAATGACAACAAACTATTGCGTCATAGATCACGTCTACGAGAATGTTTTAAAATAAAAACCTACTTTCTGAAAAAAAAACTTCTTTGAAAGCCTACTTTCTAAATTTTTATTATTTCTATTAGGAAGTTATGCATGGTAATGTTTTTACTCAGTTTTGTTAAAGGGGTCCAAATCCGCGGAGGGGAGTCCATATCCGCTAGCGGATATGGACCCCGGGGGTCCAAATCCGCTAGCGGGATATGGACCGGGGGGGTCCATATCCGCTAGCGGATTTGGACCGGGGGGTCCAATTCTAGGGGGGTCCAAATCCGCTGGGACACCGGCTTCAACATCTGCCAACCAATCTTTGGTCTCGTTCCAATGAGCACTCGTCCTCACCTTCTGGGCCCGTTGGTATTCAGTTCCAAAGCAGTGGTTACAGATACACTAAAACGCGTCGCAAATTGAAGACATCTTAGATGTTGACCTCACAATTCAACTGGAAAATGGAATTTAACGGTTGAACACACTTGGATACAGTTATAAGTAAGCAACTCTGTCGATCAACTAGTACACCTACGTGGTAACGTGTTTGTGTACAGCTTGTCAGCACAACGTGGTTTAAGCTAGAACTGCACTCCAAGCAGCTTCAGTACTTCAGTAGCTTCGCCGGTCTTTTTGTAATTTTTGATAACACAAGTAATGAACATAGCTGGACTCGTAGCCGATCATAGCCACCTAAACCTCGAGTTTGCCATTTCGCCGCATAAAGTTACCCTCCTAACAACGACGAAGTCACTCTGATTTTGCCTCACCCCTTCCCATTAATACCTTAACATTCATGTCGAATCTATTCAAAACTTTATTGCAATAATATAAATTAAGCTGGTCCATTTACTGGCATGTCAACGATAAATCCTGGATATTTAGAAATATTGAAAGCGTATAAAAAGAGTAAATTTTGAACATCTCCACTGACTAAAAAAAACTTCCTAAATATAAGTTAAAGATAACCAAAAGCTCAGTTAATAGAGCCATTTATAGAGTCACTGATGTCTGATCCGGAGTCTTCACTTGTTTGTTCCCAAGGAGGCGGGGCTTGTCCTTCGCATCTTTTAAGGGCAAATTTATAAACCATAAAGCCGCTTAATCCACAGGCTTGCCAATATTTAACAACTCGGTAAAGTCCTACAATAGATAATTAAAAACAGGTAAAATCATTAACAAATTGATTGAGGTAGTAAGTCAAATCCACAGACCGTACCCTGTGAGTGTTCATAAAAGACAGTGTTGAGATTTGAATTTTGCAAATCGGGAGGTATCTATGTCTCTTGTTTCTTATCAAAACTTAAGATACGTTGTATGCCACGGATACCTCTGTCCTAAGGCAGAAGAAAGCTCCAGAAATCGGAAGATTCTATTTTCTGCCCTTTTTTTAGTATAAATAAAGTTAGCACAAACTGCAATTTCAGTTGCGATGCAAAAATTAACCTAATCATTCGACTGCTGTTTTAAAATGTGCAAAAAAACCATAGCTAGCTGTTTCCAACAGGTTAATATGTGGGAAATGCGTGTAATGTGAAATAAAAGAAAATATTACAGCTTCTATATAAATAATTAAGCTAGCATGATAACAAAAGAATGACAGGGAGGTTCCAATGTGTTTATGTAATTCAATGAAAACCTTGATCACCAAGTGAAGCTGGATACCAGGGGGTAAAAAATGGACTATAGGTGCAGTCGCCCCTTTCTTGACTTAGTCCATCAAAAGAGAGTAAAAGTCCATGCTAGGTGAAAACTTGAGGCTTTCTAGTGCCCTATTTATCCTCTAAATTTTCAAGTGCTATATGACTGCTTGGCTAGAAAAAAATGTGAACTATAAAAATTGGTAGGTCTGCAATTGTTCTCTAATAGACTATCTCTCTATCACTGGGTCAGGATCATTGCAGGAACTTCCTACCATCATATCTGTATCCTTCTTCTGGAGCATAGAGGCTGTTTAGCTTGTATCCTCTGATAACACGCACAGGTTTCCCACTTTCAACACTCCTGCTTAATGCTAAATTTCCTGTTACAGTAATGCAGGTCATAGTGGAGAAACAACATCAAAAAGGATATTGAAAATCACATAGAGATCATAAAGGCCAAGCATTCAGCTTCACATTATTTCAGATAATTTGGCAAAATGCACTGGTTCAGATATGATAATTCTACTATCTTAAAGACACCTTAAGACACCTTGTTACAGACAGGGAAATTATACATATAACCAATCTTTCATTACCTCTGGACAGACACTGATCTTTGGATTGAGGAGCAGTACGCAAGTTCTACAAAAATAGCAGAGAATAGTGAAAACAACAATAGTACCCTTTTCATTTATAGCATCCCATCTGGAAGACAGGGGAGGGAGGGGGGAGGATAGCCAAAAGCTATGCCAGCAATCTGTGGTTGCTTCTATCTTCTCTGATGTGTTCTAGGTAAAAACCATTTGATAAACATGACAAATGTAACTCATGAGACTAAAGACTACAAGTTAAATTATGCAAGCAAGCACAAAAATGTGGTTTAGTCATCACTAAAGGGGATATCCAGTAAATAAAAACAAGTTTCGCACAAATTTAGACAATACCTTTGGATTAGCTTTTGTGCCTTTCAAATCTCTTCCACCTGCAAGAAGAAAACATTCCAAATTCACTTTTCAGTTAATGACCTGACACAATGAATTCAGATAAATGATTCTTCTTAGTATCCTTGGGGCTGAAGTCTGATCACAGCTGTTGTACATCAATACTAACTTACAATTTATGTGAACTGCAGTGGTAATAAGTAATTCATGACATCTCATGTTTTATTGAAAATTGTATTGACATGCCAAGCATCAGATTACAATCTTACAAAAATTACATATCATGCAATTAAACAGAATTCTGCCTGTGCTTAGTTTGTAAAGAGCCTATCAGAGGCCCAAAGGAAGTCATTTGCTGCTCTGGGTCACGCATCAGTAGAGTGAGATTGTCACCTTCTCCAGTGTATGTAAAACAGACTCCATAGTCAAGGTCATCTTCATATCCCCCAGACAGAGCAAGAGAGTAGCATCCTTCATCGCTCCCATGAATACCAGCTACTGTTGGCCTGCATTAAGTTGATAAACAAATACACTGCTGAATCATAAACATCTAGTCTATTTTAATAGAATCTAGTCTTACACCAACACCAACAGTATTCTCAGCTGTCAGTATCAAATTTTAGAGAAGAGAAAAAGTAGCAACAAAACTGTGGCTAAATATGGTATTCTAAGACCAGAGATACAGTACATGAACATCTAGTCTTAAATAGTCTGATCTTAAATTGACAGTAACTGTAATGAACATTCAAAGAAGACTTTGATTACATAATCATTTGGTTGTGATTTAAAGTAGGGAAAAAGTTCTGTTGTATTTCTTTGTCGAGTTTACAGTTTTCCAATTTTCCTAGTGTACTATTGTTCACAGTTTGAATTACATACTTGGCTTGCAGGTAATTGTGAAGAAGAGCTCCCCAAAAAACCTGTCGGCCGACTGTCGGCCGACAGTTGGCCGTCTGTCAGCCGACTGTCGGCCGACTGTCGGCCGACAGGTTTTGCCTGAAATATAGGCTACCTGTCGGCCGACAGTCAGCCGACAGTCGGCCGACTGTTGGTAATGTGTCAGTAACCTGTCGGTAGCTTGTCGGTAGCTTGTCCGTGAAACGTTAACACAAACGTTGACAATTATTTTATTACTTAACATAACGAGTAAAAAGATTCACAGTTGTATCATTTATTAAACTTGAAATTGGAAATAGCAATTCATCCCAAACCTGCAAGATAGATTACGATGCTAGCAACAAATACATACATACATACATACTTAACATACCATAAGAGGCCGCGTTGCATTGTTGGGCGATTTGAACGAAAGTGTTTGTATTGATACGTAGCTTATGGTTTTCAGAGTTTTTGGCCGAGCTTTCGATTAAATTATCTTCCCATGCGATTCTTAGATTGTCTGGTGTGTTGTAAATTACGCAAGTGATATATCCTATACGCATCTGATAACATTTTGGAAGAAACGTTTCTTTACATACTACCAACTTTGCCGTCGATCGGTAACATTTTGGAAGAAACGTTTCTTTACATACTACCAACTTTGCCGTCGATCGGTAAGTAGTTGAAGTCTGTCGAGTCATACATCACCATTACGGATTGTTATGTCACGTTAACTGTTCGTTTTTAACACAATTTTTCTTTTTTCTTAACCTGTCGGTAGACTGTCGGCTGACTGTCGGTCAACTGTCGGCCGACAGTCGGCCGACAGGTTTTTTGGGGAGCTCTTCTTCACAATTACCAGCTTGCATTCCTGATAAACCAGTTTGCAATTGGAGGGCTCAGAGCAAGAACGATCCCTTGATTTTTCGGCCATTTTTGAAAGTGTCCACATGCCAAAATTCAACTACTTCTGAACACTTTCAAAAATGGCTACATTCAAAAATATACATGAGCTATACCCTTATAGTGGTATGCCCCTTAAGTATCAAGTCAGTTGGAGTTTGGAGATCAACGGAGATAGATCAGAGTTTCTTTTTACACAAGACTGTTCCAGTCATGTAACATTGCAGTTCCTCTAAGCCCATAAAGACAAGATCAGACTTAAGTTCCAGCCTGTTGTATTTAGTTTCCTTTTCTTTTTGATCTCGCTTGCTTTGTAATCAGTCTTAGCTCATTTTTTGATCTTGTACATTTCAATTTCCCTTTTTCAGTTTTCACCGCATGTGTACAATAGTCAGACATTAGCATTAAACAATGTTGAATCAACTTGTGTTGTCGATTCCTACACTGTGGTTGACACTCGCCAAACTCCAGTGCACAACACCCTGTGTCTCCTGCATTGAGTATGCAATAGTAACATCATCTGCAAAAACTTACAGTAAATTTCAACTGCTCATCAGACACTGTTTCTACCAATTTAGGAGTCATACTGGTAAAATTTATCGATGGGCAGTGATACATAGTATGTTCTTACTCTTTTTTTCTTTTAAATAGAGTTGTGATGATCTACAGTATGTTAAAAGAACCATAATGACTTCCTCACCGATGTACACCATCAATACAGCAAGCGAGTCTTGAATCCCAGGAGGTTCCCACAGGACAACCTAACAAACACATCAGTTAATGTCAGTTACAAGCAATTGCAAGCCACAATAAATCTCTTAGCTGAAACTTTTGAAATGTCAAATGTCAAATAATTAGGTGAATTAAGGAGAGAGTATTAAACAACAGAAAATAAAATCTGAAAAATGCACATTTAACTACAATTGTAATCTTTGTGTCTACAATGCATTTTGTGTTTATATAAGTGGCATAGATGCAGATTTACAATATTTCCTTTATTGGTCAATTCCCAATAATTCTATAAAATGTTTACAAGTTACCTGGAATCTCTCCAAAGACATTTTCTCTATTTTTTGGTACTCTTAAAGGCTTCCTGTATTCCTGGGTATCATAATCACTATCATCAAAACTGTAATTCTTTAAGTCCTGATTGCTTGGTTCCTAATGAAAAAGATTGGGGACGTGGATTGAAGAGGGTAGACAAAATGACATCCCTATAACTAACTGACTTTTGTTTTTCTTTGATCAAGATAGACCATTTGAAACTCTATATGAAAAGTAAAAATGTTTAAAAGGAATGGACATTAAAGTCTTAAGAACATTGAAACAAGCTCCCAAGTTCATGATCCAAATATTCAAAGACATAATATACACTACAGCTTAGCTTTAAAACAAAAATTGACTTGGCTTAGCAACATGTAGAGAGTTGCACATCTCAAAGAGATTTATTTTTAATGTAATATCTCATTGCACCCCCCTGACAATTGGTCCGCTGTCAAAACTACTCCACCTGTCCTCTAATTCTGCGTGATGATCTGAGTCGATATCTGATATCTTTATCCACAAAACTGAATTCCTCATCAGCTTTTGAACCTTTATCTTTTGCCTGTTCTCTCTTCCTCTTCACACCCTTAGTCTGTAATGGCCTCTTTATTATTGGTCTTGGAGTGAAAGACTACAGGAGTAAAATGTTTATAAACTCAGGCTATATATTTCATCACCTATACATATGGGAGGAGACACCAAATATTGCATGAGACTGGGTTAAGCAATTGAAGACAGTTTGTTTTTTGTCCTATATCATACAAGGAAGGTAGAAGTCTACAATGTATGAAAGCTTGAAAAAGTAGAGAATGAGATTTTTAATTTTTTCAATTTGAAGTTACTTTGCCCAGAGCAACTACCAAATTTAAGGGAAAAAGCTCTCTGCCTCATCCAATCAGCATTTTAGGGGTTAGGTCTCAATTAGGACAAAAGTTCTGTTCCTCTCTCCTGCCACTCCACTTTATTTTTTCTTTTCTTGCAACTGAGCAATGTAAATTAGTGGTTTGTATTTGTTGCAGCACAAAACAAATAATCAAGTAATCAAGTGAACAGAGGTCAGAGTACACATGTCTCCATCAAGGGTTGTAAAATGGTAAAAGTTTAAAAATAATAAATGGCCCATACAACAGAGTTTGTGAAAAAAAGAAATCTGCAATAGCAGGAAAGACCATGAAATGACAAAAATTTCAGGCTTGTTAGAAAAAAAATCAAGCCAGAAAGAATTATTAACTAAATAAATGTGCCAGCTAAATCTCTGCTCATTATGCACACAGGAATGCATTAATATCTGTTGAAATTGTTAACTTTCGATTTACTACCTTATTTGTGCTTCCCTTGAGGGTTACCAAGACATATGGGAATTCCTGACTCTTCCCTGTGGGCGGATAAGACTCCACAACCTTCAGGATTGCTTCAGGCAGTTTCTAAATTTTCTCCTTCCCATTCCTTTCGCGGCTCAGCCGCATAAAATTCCCTCACAACCGCAAGCTAGCCCTTCATTTACAGTATGTGAAGACGGATTTACTTCAGGGTGCTGTTGTTAAACATATTCCCTGGCTATAAAAACTGCTAGAAATATCCATATTTTAAAGCCCTGAGAGACCTTTATATGGAAAAAGTATTACTCTCCATAATATTCCTAATAGATGTGAATAGAGCGCAGTTATGCAGCTACACTATCATACCTCAAACTTGTCAAGCCCCAGACTTTCAAGTATTTTCTTGTTCTCATTGATATTCTTTAATCTTTGTAACTCGTACTCACTTGCGTGTGCGTTCATAATAGAAGCTTGCTCTTCTTGGCTTCCAATGGAGTCTCAAATAATACTAAATTAACTATGTACTTGATTGTAAGAACATGTGCGTTTTAAGATTTTAACACCACACAAGTTGTTCTTCGTTTAAAACCGCTGACCAATAGAAGACAGGCACTGAATGATGGCACCCTCGCGACCAAATGAAATTATACGAAGCTAAACCAAAACAAATACTTTGGTCATTTTGCAATTCCAAACTGGACTAAGAGATGTAAGAAATTATAGGGAGACCGATGTAGAAAGTAGTTAACCTATCCAATATCGCGGAAAAAGTCCTTTTTTTTATTCAATCTAGAACAGTAAATATCATACACGGTTTGATTTAAGAGATGTTGTCAGTTGTTGCTTATTTTTTTTTTCTTCACAGGCTAAAAGTTAACACTAACAAGGGCAAGCTCGATATAGTTTTGAATGAAGGTCAGAGTATTCACTGTTTTATTAAATGTTTATTTCCACGATTTTGATCGAATCTTTCAAGACCTCATTTATATCACTCTTAGATCAACGTCAAATTTCAATTACAACCTTGTTCATTATGGCATAGGAAAACCTTGCGAACACTGTCAATTCATTGATAACTACTCTGATAAGTATTGATGGTACACCACGATCCCTTCTCAATGTTGAGGTTCATTCTCTCTCTAATTGAGTTGAGAGATCAATTGACGCATTGACAGCTGTTATTGTCACTGTCATATACTGTAGACGATCACGCTTGCTGATCAGATGTCATTAATCCCAACATCGACTAGGGGGAAAGCCATGACTATAGATTACTGGGCCACTTTTGGAGATGCTTTTTAAAGTAGCCTGGCGGAGTCAGTTATTTGAACAGTTGTGTTAGCAGTTATAGGTAACTGATTGAACAGTTTTTCTGGTATGATTCTGGGATTGCTTTTCTGATATTTAAGTCCTATGGAAGTGCATTTACCTATAGTCCTCAAGATCAACTACATATTTTTGCACTTTTGGTGATGACTAACATCCCATGTACTAATATATATAAGTCCATGTATATGTATTTTTTTTTCTGTTTATGAATATATTTCAATCAGTTGACAGAAAATAAAATCTCCTGAGACTTTGTACTTTAGTAATTTCTGTAAGTTGCTAATTTAGCTTTTATTTTCATTACAGATAGCTTATTTAAAACGGGGCCTAAGGAAAGAGTTGCTAAGGTATTGAAATGTTCATTTGCTGGTAGTAAAATGATCTTATAGTCTCAAGCTTTGACAGTATGTGCTTGTTAAAGGAGTGTCATCTTCTGAAACCAAACATTTTGTTCCTGATACTCAAAAGATCATGAAATTTTTTTTTTTTCCTTTTGTAGTTCAATGTGGTCATGTTAATATGTTTAAAGAATATTGGGATCCAGTGTACTAGAAACTATTGCGTGTACCACATGTGCCACAGAAAGTTGAAAATTAAGATAGCAATTTCTTTCAAAAAGTTTCAGATCAAGACACAATTGAGCTGCTCTTGCTTGATTGTTGTTATTTTTAAGGGAAGACAAAGCTCAAAAGGTTTCTCAGGAAGAACCTCTCAAGTTCGCACTCTTCCTCCCAAGACACACCACTTTAGAGAAGATGGCAAAGCAAAGTCCTCATCCAAGCCACAGAAAAATAATGTCCGAGATGATAAACTAACAAAAAGTCAAAGTATCCGAAAAGATGAACCTCTTACAGATGCTAGTTACTTGACAAAGGACCAGTTGTCAAGAATTCTGTCATCTCTGAAATCTGCAGACACTGAGCATGAACCTGTAGCAGATCTTGAAAACACATATGCAGGTCAGTCTGTTTGCTGTTTATGTTGACGTTGTGTGATCTTAAGAGAGAGAAGGGGATTTTCTTTGTCTTTCCCATGCTGCATAATGTTGTGTATTATGGTTCGATATACTAACTATAGAGTAATGTGTGAATCAGACCAAGTGCTCCACACAATTGCTTTACGAGAATACAATGAACCTAATTAAATATAAAGATATATAAGGATAATCATGTGACTGTGGTCAAAGGTGTCCTAACCAATAAAATACAGATTATCTAATAGCTAACTTAAAGGTATTTATCCAAATGTAAGAAGAAACACTATATTTAGTTACACTGTTAGCATGTTACTGACTGCACCAAATGTTTGTTGTTGTTAAGCAATTTCTACCATTGACAATGAAATGGCAGTGCAGATTGAATGTGCAACATATGATTTATATAATTTATTTCTTCGTTGCATGATTTAACTTGTCTAAGATGAACATTAAATGATAGTGACCCCCACCAAGTTGCTGAATTCCTCTGGAACAATGTCAATACATTTACATACCTGTACATGAACTGATTTATATCAACTCAGTAACAGGGTCAATGGAAAGTGCTGCAGAACAAATAGCAGTTCATCAACCATCAATGAGAGACAATAAAACAAGGTAAATTAATTATTAAGAAGATGCAAAGCACTTTAATACTATCTTTCATCTTTACAAACATGTGACTATGAATAGGAATGTAAATGCAGCCTGTATAAGAGTTTCAATTATTGCACACTTTGCTTCAAAAGAGGAATTTATTTAAAACTAGGTCAAATCTGTGATATCTCTCCATAAAATTTCTTATCAGGAGAAAGGTACAGAAATCAGAATCCAAAGCCGAAGATGATATTTCTGATAACCAGGAACAGGTAAGTACATGTTTATTATTTTGTGTATTATTGTTTGTATCACAGTGTAGTTACTTTTGATGTTTCAACTGCCTACTGCAAGGCATCACCATTGTTAGGTGATAAGGCTGAGGTACAAGGTCATAATTTTACAATAATTCAGTAATTAACAAAAGAATTAACTAAGACAATTTTTAACATGGCAGAAAGTTGTAAGGTATTTTTATAATATTCATTTGATAACTAATTCTTGAAAATGTACATAACTATAGTTGCAGTATCGAAACTTGAATTAAATAATTTCAGCACTCCAAGTTGTGACCAATTTGGTCACTACAGGGATTATGAAAAAATTTGGTGATTAAATTTGCAGGTAAGTTTGCCAATGTGGTCACCTACTCTTGGTGGACATGAAGAAATCTGTAATTAGTTTACATTACTTCATCTTTATGGCATGAAGTAGAAAAAGAGATTAATTATTTGATATCAATTATATCAATTCTTAGATATCAATTATGTTCAGAAATACTTTCTTTCTTGCCATCTTGGCCACAATATGTTATGTTTATTCTCCCATGTAGTATATTTTAGAAGCATTGTAATTGGTTAAAATGTTATACTGCACAAATTGTCTCATTCCATATTTTTTATTTCTACATTGCATTGTTTAGTTTTAGTTTTTTTTTTTTTTTTGGCAACTTAACCTTTTTTTTATCTGGGGACCAATTAAGGATTCTAGGTTTGAAGTCAGGCAACTTGATCTCTCATTGCTGGGAAATAGCATGGTACTGAGCAGTCAAAGTAGTCAGCTTAGCTTTCATTATGCATAGCTTATTATAAGTAGTGTTTCCTTTTCTGTGTAGGTCATTACTCTCAGCAAAAATTTGCAATGGAAGAAGGAGTTAGGTATGTGTAGTAATAAAGTTAATACATGGCATAGTATGACTTGTTTAGTATCACTGGCAGTTTGAAGCATGTAACGAGAACAGATTTTAGTCAAGTGTCATTAAAGCAAAGGTAAAGTTAACATTGCAGCCAATTAGAACAGTGGAAACTATCACAAAGAGCCTAATGTATGAAAAATTGATGAAAGCTAAAAAGGCAAACAGCATTAAGTATGGGAAAATATCAGTGACCAAAACACAATTGACTTTATTATTGCAGCTGAAGGTGGCAAAGGTCATATGGACCAATCACATGGTGAATTAGAGAAAAACTTTAACTGTCCAGGACTAATTTCCACACTAAATTTCTCATATGTGCCAGCTTTGAAATTTTTAGAAATACTAAGCAGTGGAAGTTGTTTACTAAATAGCTTGGTTTGTTTGCTAAACATGTTTTCAAAAACCTTTTTATGCTTTTAAATTGTGAATGTCCTTATATTGTGATGACAGATGAGCAAATAGCCCTCAAACAGGAATTAAAAGCTAAAAGAAAGTTACTGGTAAGTTGATGTTATCAGAATATGTTAATGATAGAATTATACTTAGGGTAGTTTATGATTACAAATAATTTTTGTTGTTGTTAACATCACAAGTATCTTTATTTACTATCTGTACTAGTATTATATGCATATTGTCATCCAATTTACATGCACTTTCTTCTTGTCATTCTTGAATCAGATCATGGTCCAAGGGTCTTTCTGATCACTAAATGGATAGAATCCTTTACTCTATACAATGTGTGTACTATTCATAGTAGTGTCACCCTCTAAATTTCTTGGATACCAGTTTTATTGTTTTTGTTTTAACAGATCTTTATTTACAACAACATACATTAGTTACATTACATACATTAGTAATTACAACACATTACCTTCAATACATCTCTTAGGAAACATTACTAACAATGAACTGCCCATGAAATTAATATAATATTTACAATGCTAACATTAATTGAATACTACAATACTTTCAGTAGTAACATCAAGTTCATTATTTTTAATGTGTACTATTATTAGTATTATTAGTACTTGGCCAGAATTTATTGAACACAATTAAATAACTGTGAATTAATAATTAAAAGGCAAGTGATTATCCTTGCTCTTCTGTTAATCAAGGATAAGGATAATGAATTTGAAGAATATAATCCATGGGGCAGACCTGGAGGAGGAGCTCCAGTAAGAACTCAATCTGGAAATATAGTGGCTGACTACAAGAAAATGCATCAGGTAAAGGTATACTAAAGTTGCACAAAATGTCTTCAATTTATTCTGATTTGGAGACTTTAATTTACACTTAGTTACGTATAGATTGAAAACAATTGAGAATCACAGAGTGTACAGATTGAGAATAATAGGAGTTGTAAAGAAATTTCACATCAACTAGTTAGAGGTCAGATGTTCATTGCTACCCCCATTTAATGTAATAGGGAGTCAATCCA